ATTGGGAAATTTGTGAGTTTCTTACCTGTCCAAAACGATAATAGCACATTTTGTACATCAAGCAGTTCAAAAGTGTCGGTGAGCCTTCACGGTCGATGCGGAAGTCACCACCTTGTGGTGAATAATAATCACTTTCCTTGATGTGCGCGCCACGATCCGTACTGCCACCGATACGCACCATCCACAAAAATTTATTGATGTCATCCGAACTGTATCCAGTCAATCCACCGAAAATCACTAAAACATAGTTCACATCTAATTCGCGCATAATTTCATAAGCCTTCTCTTCGGACGATGCCATCGCTTGGCCGACTCGGGAAATGTGCGTATTATTCCATGTGTTATTATCCACTAAAATCGTACGATTGGCCATTGCAGTGATTTGGTAGCCATAATCCCACCATGACATAATGCGTGCATCCTCGGGCGTATTCATTTTCAACCAATAATATGCCTCACGAAAATCGTCGAAAATAATACGTGAACCGTCCATTGAACGAGCGCTCAATACAATTGATGGCGATGAATACGCTTCGCTTGTGACCCAAGTACAATGGAACGTATATGTTATCAATAGAAGTGTCATAATGCCGACAAATGCATATGCAACCTCTTTTTTAACGCCCACTTGTTGGTCAAATTTCTTGATTTTTTTCGCATCTTTATTTGAGGGGACAGTCGATGCCGATGATGACACGACTGGCGATGTTTGACTTTTGATGTATTTTGATAGCAGATGAGATACGGTTATACCGGAAATTACACACATTACCGGGGCCAACACTAACATCAGACGGACCATTACACCCTATAGAAGATAATTGGATATTGGTAAAACGATATGCTTAAAATATACTTGATATAGTATAAAGAGTGATAGATACCGCAAAGTAAATGCTTGTTACTCCATACAAAATGATAAATATATTTGCATCAGTCAATTTGGCGAAGCATAAGTACAGACCAGCCGGGAACAAGAATACCAAAATCTGGAAATATATGAAAAAATTAAGACGTATTTGGTTTTTGATCATTTCAGTCAGTTTCTATGGCATATATTCAGCGATCAAAGTGTAAACAGTCAACATGATCCGACATTGCCAGGAGTGACGATCAAATGAATGAGCCTCACTGGTAATTCGATTACGATCACTACTGCATCTTCTTTTTCATCCCAACGTACCGAAACTAATTGGCAATTTCAATATGTAACTCACCTGCAAATCAAAGTAGAACGATGACCATGATGTCGGTTGATGTTCAGAGACAGAAGCAATAATTGGAATGTGATTCTTGGCATAAGATGGATCCAAGAGAGAGTAGAACCGTCCAGTCCATGGTGACACTTTGCCTGGGAATATTAATTTCATATTTAGTATCGTCATCTTTTAAAATGATTCGAGGTTTGGATTCAAGCTCTAATTACCAGTGATGGTGAGGATGGTTGCAACAATGACAACTCCACTGAACACTGTTATGAAAAGTGCTTTCACCAGCGTCTCATAGTATTCTTTTGATAGGCGA